TCCCATTTGTAATTGTGCCAAAGAAAACATACTTATTTTGATTTAGGGTATATTCATAGCTGCTAAGTAAGAGAAAAAAACAGTATTATAATGTTGTCCATAGTATGCCTGTGGATGCAACCACATTACGTCAAGTGAATTTTGTAATACCAGGGCAAGTCATGGGAAATGTTCACATGGAAATCCCAGTCCTATGTTGCCACTGACAAAAGGGCATCCCATTTATGGAAGAAAGCAAGAAACAAGTCGAAGTCTGAGAAGGAAAATGTTTTCCTAGTGACATTTAGGATGAAATGCAATAAACATTTTTTCAGGTCAATTTTTCAACCTTTTTCTTTTTTTCTTTTTACAGTGGATGGAACTGAGGTTTAACACACTAGCAAAATGCCCACACTGCAAAAAAATGTAAGTTTTCTGAAAACAAGGTTATGTAAATTACTGTGAAGTTGCCAGTGTTTCTTCTGTAAAAGTCTTTGGAGTAACATGTGTCAGCTGTGCTGATTATTTTGCCGTGCTCATCTGAACTTCAAGGCTAAAGCGCATGTTGTGTGCACATGAATTCTCCTCTCTTTATGTGCAAATCAGTAACTCTGACAAATCCAACCTGCATTTATGAAAAGTCTGATTGAATTGACAGAGGCAAAAATAAGCTACTAACAATTGGCAGGAATGGGTGCTAAAATTGACAAGTTACGTCCTTGAAATTTTACCTCTTCATGCAGTAGTAATCAGATGTCATCTTTAAATTTAGAACTTTACCTGCCTTATTGTAAAAGGAGGAAAGGAACTAATCTTAATTTGAAAGAGGTTTTACTGCTATTATAAACTCAACAATTAACTTGTGTTAAGCATCCTAATGCATTAGCTTGCTTAATGTTTATGAATTACTGTGGAATAACTTGTCTACTCATTTGTTATTACTTTAATGAGAACAAGAAAAGTTAGAATACAAGAGCTGTAAGAGTTTGTTTTGGTTTTTTGTTTGGAGCTCTCTTTTTGAGTATTTGGCTTTTATTATTTGAGGTCAGGAATATGTAGTTTGAATTGTTGCTAAAGAACTACACTTCTAACGTACACTAACTCAACCACAGGATGTGAAATAAGACTTAAATATTACTTCAGAGACTTTTGCATACTGCTGATTTATTTAAATATTGGTCTTCCTTTGACAGGCAAGTGTGACTTCCAGTTGAAGGAGCAAATGTGTTTTCCACTGGGAATGGAGAACCACAGCTGTGTTGCATGTTGTAGGACAACTAGCAGGTCCCTCAGGAAGCAGAAGGCTTAGCATAAATGTACTGTAGGTGTGGGCATGACCTGGCCTTCAACAGTGATTGAAGTCTTTTTATTGGAGTATTTGATAGAGAAGTCAGTCTAGTGCTGTGTTTAACCTCAGGGCTGTAACCGATCACGTGTGTAGTAGTGGATATGTTCTAGTTTGCTTAAGTCAAATAAACTCAGTCTTGGTGAGATGCTTCAGGGATTTTTTAAGGACTGTAATTGCATTAAGTCTCTTCAGTCCTGAGGGAGGGGCTGATGTTTTGCTGTTTGGTTTGTTTTCAAACTAATTCCAATTATGTTTATATTTTATCATGTCACTCTTGATAGCTGACCTCAGTTTTTTTCTTGACTCTCCTTAGGTACAAAATTATTTGCTGTTTAATCTTAAAAAAAAAAAAGCAAACAAAAAACCTCCAGCAAAAAACAACCAAACAAAAAAAACCAACTCCAACAATAACAGCAGCAAAATAAACCATACTCCAAGCAACAGTCGAAAAGTCACACCATGTGATCTTTTGGTTTGTCTTCTGTTGATTAATGTTGCTTGTACTTTAAATTCCAGCTGGAGTCTAAGGTTTTCTTAGTATCTCTGTCGATAAAGTGGAAAGCATGCTATCTGCATGTAAGGAAACGGGAGCCTCTCTGCAGTGCAATTTGTGATAATTGCAGCTTGCCTGGCAACTGTACAGCAGAATACAAAACTAATTTTAACAAGTGGGCATGTCTGTCCTTGGGCTGAGGATGCAAACTGTGGAATATTGTAATTTAGCCTTGAACGAGTTGCTTGGTGTTTTCCCTCATTTGAGATGCGATGGTCAGGAGTTCTGCACTTCCAGCAGCATAAACATTTTTAACACTTGGATTTAGGGCACAGCATAGGTGAGACAGAGCTTTGAGTCGTGATGGTGGAATAAATAACTGCAGTGACCTGCTTTTTCTCGGGCCTTTGTCAGAGGTCGTTGTGGCCAAGTAGTTAGAAGGGAATGTGGGGTTCTTTATTTCAGCTTATTAATGCAAAACTTCTTTCTTTAGTAGCTGAGTAGTCAGATGCAAAACTATTCATTCCTTCTGTTGACTCAGTGGATGACTGTCACTGAAAAAAGGATAGTGTAGACTAAGGCACAAGGCACCTTGAATGACTGCAACAGTAAGTTTTTCAAGGAAGCATCAGCTGAGACTTTTAGATTCTCAAATAATTTTCATAACTTTGTTTCAAATGTTTTTAAAAGTGCAGTGCATCTCTGCAAATTGTTTGTTTGTGACCTCCTATTTGGTTGATGGAAATTAGATCTTAATATTAAGAATGTCTTTTAAAACTGCAGGGAGATCAGGAGTTATTACATGAAAAGGTCAATAATGAAACAATGTTCAGGGAAAAATAAAGCAATCGTGCCTTAGAGTATGTAAACAAAGGAACCTTTCATATCTGGATGTTGGGGGAAATAGGATCTTCTTGTTTGTTTTTAGTCGTATCTATGTGCTGTCATTGTGGTTACAACTTTATTGTTTTGTGACATACTTTTTTTCTCTTGCAAAACAACTTGGGAAATACAGGAAATTAATTGTGAGGCAGAGAATAAAATCACTTGTGTAGTAAATGACCAAATGTCTTTGAAGTAGGCTGTAAACCTTGCATGCCAGTATAGGTAAGGTGTTTGCAGAAGCCCTAGTGGTGCGTAGTGGTTCAGCCTGTCTCAAGCCCTTAGTTGCATGTTATCCACTGCTTTGGGACAACAAATGTAGCTAATGAGTAAATTGTTATGATACAGCTTTATTTTATAGTGACACCTAGGAATGGGAGAGAAACTGTTACTTTTTACTCATTGCAAAATAGCAGATGTTTCTCAGCCTGTTTCCCAAAAAAGTGAGAGATTTAAAGGAAGGCTTCTGGTATTTTTCTTGTTTAATGATGAAGAAACTTTTCTTTTATGTTTTCTTAATGTTCTTTTAATGTCTGCAATTCTCTTTCCCAAGCTGTATATTAAATCATCTAGAAACTTCAGGATCATGAATTCAGTTACTAGAAAGAGAATTGAATGCTACAAGTTATTATTTCAGAATTTCAAATCTTTTTTCCTTTAGAACCTACCTAATTTACTTTTTACAGTCTGACAAAACCGTGAACCCTAATGAATTTATAACACCTTTGCTCCATAAAGACTGCAGGACTTTTAGGAGAGAGATGTTGGAACCCCATCACTACTATGGAGGCTAGTTTCAGCAGTGCCATTCACCTTCAAAATACTGGCATTTTGATTTTCCTCTTAAAAACCTTCCTGAAAGCAAGTCTGAAATCCTGGCTACAATTCCTATTATTTAGAGCACAAGAGACCCAGCATTCTTTCCTGTGGTACTTCTTTTATAGCCTTTGTCCCTTGTGGTGGTTTTCCCCTCTTTTAATTACTACCCAGTGCTAAATTGGCTCTGATGTCTTTTATATCTGCTGCTGCTGCTGCTGCTGCCCAAAGGTCTGGCAGATGCCTTTGCTTCCTCAGCAGCAGCTCAGAAACAAAGAACCACTGCCTTCTGGAGAGTTCTGTAGTGAGTTCCCTCATACTCCCACGGTGGAACTAATTGGCTACTTCTGTGATATGAAAATGTTCTTTTGATCCCAGATTTCCAAATGTGCTTGTCGATGTCGCAGTTGGTAGGTTTTGAGGTAGAATTTTAGCTTTTTTTATTCAGAGTTAGTTTGGGGTTTTTATCTGTAATTTGGTGTGGGTAGAGGGAAACCTCACTATTTAGAGTGGGCCAGTGGCTAGTGTCACTGTCAGGAGGTAAAAAATGAATTATGGTTTATTTGGGTTGCTAAATATTTCCAGGTCTGTTATGTGACTGTAGAAACTTTATATTGCTTATTTCATGTTTGCTTTCTGTGGAAAGAGAAAAACTGTTAAATTGAGTCATTCTATACATTTCCTTTTTGTGGTATTTGAGGTGATGGTTTCTCCCTCAGCCTTTCTTCCTGGATAAGAGACAAAACTTGAGAGAAATATGTTTGGGAAATACACACAGCACCTGCAGTGTTATGATTACAAAAACAGGATCGTAAGTCAGCTCTGAAACCTAAGGTCTCTTTCCCAGAATTAACTTTGCCTCTGTGTGAAATGCACAGCACGGTGAATATCATACATGTTTTAGGTGTATTGAACATGACATTTCTACCAGCTTATCTGACGGTATCCAGCTCTGTAATAGAATTAACTTTCTGAGTACGTAGCCAGGAAATCCTGCAAAGGAGGGAATCTGAGGTCAGTTTGGCAAGCATCTCCTTGCTTTCCCCTTTTATAAAAGTGCTTTTTGATTTGATTATTTTTCTCCTCATGTAACTTGGAATTGGACAACATATCCTTTTTTCTGGAATGGCTGTAGGGTGGCTTTTGAGGGAGTGTGTAGAGGTGTGTGTGTGAGGATTGTAAGATATCATTATTTCCCCAACTGGGAATTCTCCCATACAGATGACACCACACACATCCCCCAGCTCCATCCCACATGTGTATTCTAAGGTTTTTGGTAAAAAATAATTTCCCCATGGAAATTAATGAGCAGAACTGCTTTGGGACTTTTCCTGCTCTTCTGAAAATTACTCGAGTGGTCGCTGTATTTCAACTGTTGCCTCGCAAGATGAAGCTCAGTGTGTTAGCTTGAGGACTGTGGTGGTGTGTGGTTTTGGTTTGGTTTTTTTTTTTTTTCTTGGATCATTTTAGAAATTCCTTGTAAAGAAATAATGTTGGAGTAAAGCTGCTTAAACTCTGTTTGAAGGCTTTCTAAGATGAATGCTTAAAAAATTTTAGTCACATGCTAAGCATATGAGGCCTTACTATGTGGTTAATTAACTGGAGCCAGAAATTTGGTCAGTCATATGATGCATGTACTACTTTAATAGTTTAGCACTGTTTTCTTCTGTTATGCATTTATCTTAAATATGTTGAGCTATCATGAGATGAAAATTACTTTCCCTTGCATCCTTGAACGCAGAATACAAGCATTCCATTATTTCCAAAGGTGTGTTGATCTCCCAGAATGGGATGAAGTAACTCAACTAATGATAGCATGCTTCAGGATGCTTCAAAACTACCTCTAATGTAGATGGTACATGTTTTTATGAAAGAACCTCTGCCTCTGTAGTCCTTTTACTTGTATTTCAATGAAATTAAATCATGTTCCTATTTTCCTCATTAGTATAGCTGCATGTCATTGCAGATGTGTGACTCAAGATGTATTTCCTAAACAATGCTAAGCTTCCGAAATAATTTTTCTAACCTGTAGGAAATAATGTTTTATTTGCATTTTGTATTCTGTTCGACTGAAGCACTGATAGCTTGATGCAGCAAGTAGAGACAAAACTGTCTGTCCTGGAGTTCATAGTCCAGATGATGAGTGACAGAACTTCAGGGCATTTATTTACCTTGGTTGTCAGAAGTGATTTGTGCAGCTCATGTAACTTGTGGTAGAACTCTGAAAGAAATTGGAAAGTAAGAAGAACTTGTCATGTTTTTGAAGTTACTAAAACTGACTTAAAGATGTCTAAAGCATTTCAGTCTTTGGAGATGTTGAACATGGAAAAAAATTACATGTCTGTGACTAAAACTATTTATGTTTACCTTCAAGAAACAGGACAGTTTAGTTGCTGAACGGTATTGAGTGAACTATTCCAGGAAATGGATAATGAAGGTTGTTATTAATGACATTTAGGGGGAGTAGAAGTGATTTCCAGTTAATTATATGCAGTGAATATATTAAGGCCATATGCTGATGAATCAAGTCTGAAGGGTGTCTTGCAACCTACATAAAAGTTGCAAAGCCAACTTAAGTTTTGCAATCCAAAGGCTATTCAAGATACTTACCTTGATACACTCCTTGTGCTGTGGGCACAGGAGGTGGGACACACTCAAACTGTAGGTGTGGCACCATCCTCTTTCTTGTAAGCACCTAGATTTTTAGGTATTAGATAATCACCAATAGTTCCCCTTTAAAACAAATGTGGACTGTGTCTTGTACTTTGTAGTAAAATATTAAACTTTTCCTACAACTTTATAAACTTAAGATGGTGTATGTCACAGAATCACTGAATATTCTGGGTTGGCAGGGACCCACGAGGATCATCGAGTCCAACTCTTAAGTGAATGGCCCATGCAGGGATCAAACCCTGAACCTTGGCATTGTTAGCACCGTGCTCTATACCAACCAAGCTAATCTCAGGGTTGTGTGTTGCCATTCTCTTTCCATCCCCTCATTTAGTTACTGTTGATGGCAGGGGTTGTTTTTGTGGTGTTTGTTATTTGGTTGGATGGGGGTATTTTTGTTTAATTTACAACAGTTTTTATTTCCTAACAGTTCATCCGTTGGAAGTGCGCTGCCGCGGAGGCGCTGCTGTGCATATATTACAATTGGAATGATATGCATCTTCATTGGAGTTGGATTAACTGTGAGTGGTGACCTGTGATGTAACTGCAACTGTGTGGGAGGGTGCATGTTCAAAGGAGCGCTCTCAGTTGACTTGCTCTTCCTTCCCCAGAATTTGAGTAAACCTTCCTAAGTCTGTGTTGGTTTTGTCATCTCTATTAAAACCATGGACTTAGCCAGAAAAATGAAATGTTTCTAAAAAAAAAAAAAGTGTTCTGTTCTGGCACTTTGAAAGTTTCTTCGTTCTTATGTTAAATTTGACTCTTCGTCTGTCTAAAACCTTCAGTTTTATGAAAAATGGTTTACTTCACTGTAGAAATACTGGAACATCTTGCTCTTGCTAGAGCTCTTAAAACTTCCAGGCTTCCAGAAATACATGTTGCTGTATAGCCAGGAATGTAAGTTCCACTGCAGTAGAGGTGAATGGGATTCCAAAAGCTAGAAATATTTGTATTTGTAATTTGTACAAGCTATAAGGAGTGAAACCAGATAACAAGCTATCTACAAATTAAAAAGCTCACACTCTTGTTGCTCTGCTACTTGGAAAACGGTCTGGCTTACCAGTATCTGGTACTGGTTACTAGAGCCAACCTTCTACCTGGCAATCCCAGAGAAGTACGTGTGAGGAAATACCTGCAGTGAATTCATGTGTGTAATTCTCATTAGGCCTCTAACTTGCATTTTAACTTGAATAATTATTTATGTGTGAGTTTAAATGAGTTATGAAGGATTTTCCAGTTTCCCTAATAGAAAAATAAGACAGCCAGAAATAAAAACAGTGAGAGATGGATTTCTTTTTTTTTTTTCATGACCTTACTGAGTTTGAAAACTATGTGGAAAAAGTTTTCCACGAGGTTTGTCCACAGGCTGATGTAGCCTCCATCCTTGGGAGTTTTTTGGGACCCATCTGGGGTAAAACCCTGAACAGCTTCGTCTGACCTTAGAGTTGACCCTACTTTGATTGGGAAGTTGGCACTAGAAGTCTCCTGGTGTCCCCTTCAAGCTCAATTACCCTATGGTTCTGTAAAATTAAGCTAATAAAATATCTGATTTGCCCTTACCAGAGTTGAAAGGGTGCTGAAATGCTTCTCCTTAATATAACTTGCTCTTCTCTGAAGAGCAGATAGTGCTGTGTGTTTGACACTTCTGTTTTCTCTTTTTAGGTTGGTACACAAGATTTCGCCAGGCGATTTCACGCAACATATGTTTCTTGGGCTGTTGCTTATCTCTTAGGTTTAATCTGCCTCATTCGAGCCTGCTACTGGGGAGCCATTAAAGTCAGTTATCCAGAGCACAGTTTTGCGTAGAGAAATTGTTAGGTTATAGATGAATGTCTAGTAATTCTGGATATTACATCTTGGACACTTTTAAAACCTTTCCTATAAGGATTCCATTCTGTTCAAAGTAGTTTAAAGACTGGGGGTCTCTAAGAACAAATGTTCATTGCACTACATAATATGCAAATAGTTTGTTTTGCTGCTAGATTCCCTAGCTCTGAATACTAAAGCTGTGTTTACATGTTCATAACTCTGTCTTTATAGGCGTTGAATTTTATTTCAATAGTCAGTATTAAGTTTTACATTTCCTTTGTTATGTTAAAATCCGTCTGCCATTTTTCTAGATGATCAGTAAAAGTTCAAAAGCAAGAGTGTTTATAAGTGTTTCTACAGTAGCTTCACATTTGTACTTCACATTTTAACTAAAATTATATTCAAGTGGCTTGCTTTAAAACCTAAGCAATAAGCGTTTTGCTTGAACTGCTTACTGTACCTTTTGCCTAAGATCATAGTGACCTTATTCAGGAAATGAAAGTTATGGGTATACTTTAAAAGACTGACACTGTTGCTAGAGAGACATTTGTAAACACTGTATGCTTGGAGATTTTTCAGGTAGAGAGATGCTATTTTGGTAGTCCAATTAAATTTCCATCTATCCAGGATTGGATTTCAGTTAGGATAAATGCTTTCTTCTCAAGGATCCTGGGACTGAGGTTTTGGGTTTTTTTGATGGTTTTTTTTAACTGGCAAATCCTAAAAGCCATGCTCGGATTATGGAACTTAACTCCAGTTATTCGTACAAGTTCCTTTACAGGGTCTAAGGGAAGCATTTCATATGAATTGGTTTGTAATACTTCAGTGTCATGTAGATGACAATAAGGTGGTGATGGGTTTCCTCTTACTTTTCTCTGATCATGTCAGATTTTCCCTGTTTGGGAGAGTTATGACACTGGTCACTGCAAAGGGAGACACTGTAAATTCTCATTAACTGCTGTAATAAGGAAATGAGTAAACTATTACTTGGACCATTCCATCCAGTACATCTAGTCAATTTAGCACTGACTTGCCAAGAGAATACGGAAACAGAAAGTTTTTTCTAATGATGTATTCACAAAGGATTGAGGGACCAGTTCTTGCACTGCCCATCTTTATAGTTTTAAACAAGTTTTTGCTAAATTCAGAAGGAATGTCCTGAGTGATTTAGACAAGTGTAGTAATTTAGATAATGGGGTCAGATGGGTAAATTAATATGGATGTTTCAGGGATACATGTAATTTAAATTATCTATGTTCCTGCTAAGTCAAAATGATATTCGGATAAGGATTTTGGAGCACAATAAATGTAAATGATCAAACTGTAAATGACCTGTCTTTGTATGATGCTAAATGTATAAAAGCAGTAGCTCAGGATTACAATGTACCTTTTACAAATAAACTAATAAATAAAGATTATTATTCAAACTTAATGTATTTTGTTACTTATATGTAAATAAAAATGGACAAGTGGAAGAATTTCCTAGTGTGATACAGAAACCACAAAGGTATGGCACAGCAAAGGTGAAACTCTGCATTTTTACCAAATGGCAGCCTCAGGAATATAAGACAGCAATAATAAATTGCTCTTTGGTTGATGTTTTGGGAAGAATGAGGAAGTAAATAAGGGATGAAACCCATGTTGGGATTGTTTTATTAGTCAATTGCTTGTTGATGGACTACAGTAATATACTGTCATCTTTTCCTAATGCTTTTCACATCCCTTCACTATAGGAATTTGCAGTACATGCTTGCATCTTAAACCTGTGAATACTCTTTTCTGTTATTTTGTGTTTCAAAATACTGCCTGTACTCCACATTCTGAAATAAAGTAGGCTGGGGCTGTACAGAAAATCATCCACTGCTTTTGTAATTTCAGTGGGGGTTGGGAGAGGCTGGGTATAATGTTTTAATGAATCAAAGGAATTTGCACTTTTTCCCCCTGTGTTAAGCTGTACTTTATCTCTTGTCTCGTGCTTCTCCTTTTTTCTTCTCAACTTCTTTGAGCAGAAGGGACAATATATGGACAAAGTAACTTATTTTTGTCAGTCAGGGTACTAGCATGGTTTGCCTCTTCCTTTTGCAAAGTAAAACATGGTAGTTATTTCTATAAAATGTGTCATTACATTTCAACCACTGCTGGGTACACAGAATCATGATATTTTAACCAGCTAAGAAAATTAATGGTAGAAGCTGATGGGTCTTTACAAGGGACTCAGGTAGGTCTGGCCATTTGTGAAGCAGGCTTGTTTGCAGACAGTTGTGATGTTCTGTGCTGAACTACATGTCAAACTGTTAAACTTCTCTAAACTTTAAGTAAAAAACCACAAATATTAAAATCCTGTGCATACTGACTACTAGAAGAACTTGCAATTTTTATGGTCACTTGTTGCTTTTGTTGCCTTTCAATAGTCTTTTTCTCTCGGTATTATTTTTGTGTTAGGTGTGGGAAGGAGTTACTCAAATTTACAATTAAGGGCTTCTGCGCTTTCAGGTTTTATCTCCACCCTTCCTTGCTCTCCTTCCACTCCTTCCCACCAAAGAGCTTTTTTATAAACTGTGTGTCCTTGAGTAGGAAGCACTTCAGACCTTAAACTGTGTTTAATTTTTTAATTATGAACCTACTGATGCCTGAGTCTTTTACTGGTTTTGTTTGTACCTGTCATACATGTTCATATGTTGTCTTAGGAGGCTTAGGGGGTAGTAGGAGATCTTTGTCACGAGTAGCATGTTGAAAGAAGCT